TTTAGAGATCTTTAAAGAGTTTTATTTTGCATTCTCTTTCTACAGAAACAGAAGATATCTCACTACCTCTTCCTTCCCAAATAAAAAAACTAGAATAATTACCCCAAACCTTTGAAAGGTGAATACTGTCCAGTAAATTGTTCCTCAACTGATAATACAGTAAAAGCAGGTGAACGAGAGTTTTGGAATTCAGTGTTGGATGATAGATTTCTAGATGACAAACTCAAAACAGCTTCCATGGAACTTCCTTCTACTGAAATGGAAATCAAAACATGCCTAAAGTCCTTTTGTCATTTGTCACCTTCAATTGTTTTGTTTTAACTCTGGTACATCATCTCACACCTTTAAAAAAAAAGCTCTTTAAAATATGCAAGTGCAACTTTTTGTAAGCATATATGGAAACTAAGGGGAGGTATTCACTTCCTCACAGCTCTCTGCCTCTTTGTTTGGTTGAATGCTTTGTATGCTGTGACCTTTACGTTATTCAGTCTCTGACAACATGCTACACAACTATGTGACAATGTCTCCGCCCAGTTTCGATGTTCTCACAGAGATTACCATTAGTGGTAATATGATAATGTCCAACAAACCCACAACAAGAGCATATTATGCACAGTTTTGATGTGTAATATGAATTAAATAAACTTATTTTAATACATTTAGACTGAATGTTTCTTTTGTGTGTCTCACAGAGCAAATCAAACCACAGCATATTGTTGGAGAAGACAGCCTTGATAATGATGAGGAATACAGAAAAGGTAAGCCAAGAAATACTTTGTTTGTACAAGAAGTTTACTTGGCAGCATTATGCATAGCTTAATTGCTAAGAGTGTACATCATTCCTAGAAAGTTTCTGTGCACTCCGGAGGTTTCTACATTTTCATCAAATGTTTTGCATTTTAGTTTTTAGTTTTAATGATCAAATCTGACAAGCAGCTTCCCTAGAGCATGCTGCTGCTACTATTATGTTCCAGTGGGGTGTTGGTTTATAGCCAGTTTAAATAAGCCACTGGCCTCTTGGCTCCCTCAATGAATATTAATCTCCCTGCCTGTTAATGAAACTACAATATGAAAAGTTACGCCTTAGGTAAGCAATGTTTTGATTAATTAATTAATTAATTAATGACAAACTGATAGGCACTGAAGGTTCTTGGTTTAATTCCCTACCTGGGGTCTTTCTGCACGGAGTTTGCATGTTCTCCCTGTGCATGTGTGGGTTCTCTCTGGGTACTCCAGCTTCCTCACACAGTCCAAAAACACGAATGTATATAGACATAATAAGAAATAGAATTTTAATTAAACATAAATGAATAGAAATTTCACTTCATGCGACTATCTTAATATATTTGAATCCCTTGCCCTGATTTTTATTTCATGCTTTTCTTTGCCCCTGTGAAAACACCCTGGCCCCCTCCTGGCCCCGTGGTACATTTGGTCTAGAACCGCCACTGTAAACGTATTAAACTCCTTTTAAGTCGCTTTGGATAAAACCAAATGGATGAATATCAGTTCAATTCAATTCAGTTTATTAAAATAGCGCCAACACAAGTCACAAAAACATGACTGTTAGGTTAATTTAGGTTAATCTAAAATTCTCCTTACGTATGTGTGTGTGTGTAAAGGGTTGCTAGTCCTGTTTGTCTCTGTGTTGCCCTGTGATTTACTGGCGACCTGTCCAGGGTAGACCCCGCCTCTCGCCCATTGACAGCTGGAGATAGGCACCAGTACCCCTCGCGATCCCAACAGGGATAAGCGTGACAGAAAATGGATGGATGGATATACTGAAAACTAATTTATAAACAGCATTTTTTCTCAAATACCTAACATTTGTCTTATTTCAATAACTTGATGGGCTAAACATTTTTTTTACAATATACTGATAAAAAATAGGACATCATTATGTTCTGCCTCATCATGTCTCAAACCTGCACATCAAGTACCACTGCCCTGGATGTTTTAGATGCATCGCTGTTGAATCCGACCTGATTGAATTTACTGGATGACCTCATCAGCAGCCATCTAGTAGTGCTTTAGAAGCCAGGTGTGTTGCAACCAGGAGAAATCTAAAACATGCAGGGCAGTGGGAAAACCACGGTTTTAACAATTTATTCCCCCATGTGTATTAAATACCGACTGCATAAGCAAAAAAAACAAACATTTTCTACACTTACTTAAACTAGACTTATTTATAAGACACAACAAAAGAGGGACATTTTTGGTCACTGAAAAAATAGTGACTAGGTATGAATATAATAATATACAGAATATAAAAACACTTACAATCTGTAAATTACAGAGATTCAAAGCAATCGTTAAAAGACAGAGTGTCACTCCAGCATGCTGTCAGACTATTAGCTACTTCATATTAATAAAGCAGACGCCAACTGTGTTATCGCTCACTGTTTATAGTGTAATTGAGCAGTAAGTGCTGGGAGAGCCTTAGTACTTTAAGCAGTGCTTTTAAACAGGGGGTTTGGTTTCTCTCAGAGGAATGTTAAAACTTGGCTACATGAAGTGCATTGCCTCAAAAGCCTTTACTATCTAAAGCGCTTATTGCCAGAATGTCTTTTTTTTTTTTACCATGTTAGAAATATTTTGTGTAATGCCCCCTTTTCTTTCAGCACACCATCACTTTTCAAACACAGCAGGAAAGGTACGCTGCTTCTCATTGCAGCTAAACCTGCCTATTTAGGTGATAACCTAAGAAGTTTAGTGTTTTTACCAAGAAAACCACATAAAGTGAATTCAGCAACCTTGATTAAACAGTGTAAATAACCTGGACTGGACTGTGGATCAAATTATGGGTGTGTTCTTTTCTGTGGTCTGTGAAAATAAGGAGGCCGGAAGAGTTGGCTATGGATTCAAACAGGTCCAGCCTTCTCTGCCCTCCATCACCCCTGACTCAGCGTATGCTCTGTCGCCTAGCACACAAAACAGGCAAAGAATGGGTGCCGACCTTGTTACTACTGTTCTGTTTGCTAATTACTAGGGGTGGAACGGTTCACATAATCCACAAATCGGTTCGGTTCACGGTTTCATGGTCAGGGTTTTCGGTTCGGTTCGGTATATGTTGATTGTTAGGAAAATCTATTATGTTTTATAAAGTACAAAATGTGTTGCACAATGCTTGCACACTGTTGCACTTTTATCCACAGCTTTCTTGCCGCCGTCATCGTAGGTCACTCTAAATGCAAAGCGCTCCCATACAGCAGACCTATAAAGTGCTGCTGGCGCGTCTTCCAACTCCTGTTCTTTCCCACTCGCCATACCCACACAATTCTCCACAACAACTGATTTTTTTCTGCTACACCCGGCTATGCCGCTTCGCTTCTTCTTCTTGTTTACTACTGGTGGTTGGCTTTGGTCGCAGTACTGCCACCTTCTGCTCTGGAGTGTAAACACTTCGCCTATGAGAAAAAGGAGCAGCGCATGAACCGAACGCAACACAAGTGAATCGAACTGAGACAGTCAACCGAACGGTTCGGGCAGTTTTCATAAACCGTTCCATCCCTACTAATTACATTTTTTAAAATGCTTTACCAGCAGTACTGTCCTCGCAAAAACTTGACACACACCGAGGTTCTGCTTTAGCTTCCCGCGCTCCGTGGCATCACTTCTCTTGCATATATTAGTAAAAATCAACAGTTGTTTCGTCTAGTGCATAGAAAGTAAATATAATCGGTAAAAATGGGTAGAGATTCAGAGCCCTGTGCCACATGTTTTTTGTTGGTTTTTTTGCACTTTTTACACCTTATTATTGTAATTCCAAAGTTCTCTACTAATCCCAGTTCTTCTTTCTTTTTGGAATGCTTTTGAATTGTAGCACAAGGGGCGAAAAAACGGTTTATGTTCTCAAGTATATGCACCTCCCTTATTTGGAGGAAAGAAGATAAAAATGTTGGTACAGATCCAAATTATTTACTCTTAGTCATGTGTGGTTTAGCTTGCACTTTCTTTGTGCAGTGTGTCACTTTTTACATGTGTTGAAAATCAGTTCTCAGCGGTTTGCTTTCCTACATGTTTTGATTTCTATCTTCATTCAACACCCCTAGAACAAAAACATGATTCATTAGCAAGCCCTTGCAAAACTAGCTGACATGTTGTGGAACTATTCTAGCATTCTGAATCAGCCGTGTTGGTGGATGAGTGCAGTAATCAAGGAAGTCGCCCCTATGGACGCTGTAAAATGTATTACTAATAAAGCGGTTAACCGGGATAAGTGAAAACAAAAAGAAAATGAATTCATTGTTAATCACTCTAAGCCAGGCTTTTAGCTAAGAATATTTCCTGGGGTGTACACTTTGGTGTAACATCTTTAGGCTTTGTGCTGAGTTGGGGAAATTTAGACTCTGTGAAACGCTATTTCCTTTATTTTGAGGTGGAATGCAGCTAACTTTTTGTTTTGTTACAACACTACTCCTGTCCTGATTATAGAAAGTAAGTCTCTTTGGAATCTCCATAAGGAAGACATGAGATCATTTTTAGTTACAATATTAGGTTTCATAGTTTATTCAAACAATGAGAAAATGTAATGCCACGTTCACACTGCACGCGTTTTGAGCATAAAACAAACGCCTGCTGCCTAATTTTTTATGATTGCCCACATTAAGGTCAAATGCATCTCAAGAGCATCTTTGATGCTCCTGAAGTGTTCAGTAAAGTCTGTCCAGAAGCGTCTTCTGCTGCTCCTGTGTTCAATGGCAGAGAGCTGATTGGCTATATTGCTGTGATAAGTGGGTAAAAAGTAGTGTTGCACCGATACTGATGCCAGTATCAGGCAGGGCCTTGATACTGCGCTAAAATTGTGGTATCGGCACTGATACCATTTTGAGAGCAAAAAGTTTAATCAACTATTGTCACCCCATTCAGGTAGGTAATAAAAAGTTCTGCTGGATTCACTTTGTATTAGTCTTTTTTCTCCTGCTTCACAAAGGTAGGCAGCAGCTTGACAAAGCCATGATGGTGATTATTTTACATCCAATAGTATGCAGTTCTTCATATATACACACACATCAGTTTCAAACAGATGGTATCGGTATGGTATCTGGATCGGCCGATACTGCGCAGCCAGGTATCGGGTATCGGTATCGGTGCCAAAAAATGTCATTGGCGCAACACTAGTTAAAAGTAGTTTTAATATATTTTCATGTGAAAGATTCCACCTTAAAACATCTTCTGTGCAGTCTATTCGTCAAGTTTACGATTCCGCCTTAAAATATTATTTCACTGTGGGAGGCACGCAGACCTGACTTTGAGTTGTCAGTCTCACAACACATCCATATTGAAAGACTCCTGCTAATACGTCCATCTCGTAACCACCACCGGGTTGTTCCAATGACGTGACAGCAGTGTTTTTTGGGGCGGGACATGTAGGAATGACGACAGTCAGAGGGGGCTTGCGGGGAACTCTAATGTCGACACCGTAAATGATTTGGTTTTAGCTAAAGTAGTGATAATTTCTAATTTAAAAAAGGAGCGAAGAGAAGCACTTTGTGTATTTGTAGATGGGAAAGATGTATGTGCTTTTCTTCTGACAGGATTTGGTAAAAGTTTGATCAACTTATTCCGCTAGTTGAAAACCCTCAAGAAGCTGCAGATAGACTGATAGAGTGTTATGGAAGGCTGGTACTAGCTGGCATGTCACCCAATCAGCTCAATGTATTGTGCTAAACGTCCCTTCTTTTCACCGACAGACTGAACGGCAGCCAACCCAGACTGATAAAGTAGAACTCAACTCAGTTCTACGCATCTTAATCTGGCTACTGCCAGGGTAACGCAGATCCCCACATACCAGAGCCGTTCTGTCACTGGGAATCCAGCAGCAGCTGCCTCAAGCCCGGTCGCCTCTTGGGGGTTTTCCCCTACTGTTGGGGGCTGGAAGTAGATGTTAGCATTTTAGTGTACGTGGCTCAAACTGCAGGTGTTAGAGTAATAAAAGCAAACATATTTTGCCGGCAGGTTTTCACATTTTAAGTTTCAGTGGAGTGATGCGCACTTTCATCTGGTTTGGTCTGCCGCGGTTTCCGTAGCGTCGTGAACTCGCAGGCGCGCGCTTTCAGGAAATCCTATACACTACTGTTTATGCTCTAAAAACATTCTAAATGACTTCGTTTCGAGTAAANAAAAAAAAGGCAGATTAATGATTGTGCTTCAAGACTCTCTAGGAGCCTTGAATTAGCCACATTCTATAAATAAAAGTCTCTTTTTTTTTTTAGCACCAGTGGCGATTTCTTATAATACTGGGGAGGCTATTCCTCCCCTGTACATTTTATAAAAGACCTGGTGAAATACGCATTGTAAAACTTCATAAATGTAGCCACTACAATGAATTAAATGTGTGCTAAAATCTCCCTCCACTCAGGAGCAGCAGGACACTGCCTGTAAGTTGGGCTCCGTCACTTCCAGTAAGGTTTAGCCTCCAATGGGGTCTATGGAGCAGGGGTAGGAAAATTAGCCCTTCCTGCAAATGTGAATGTCTGTATATTTGCACATGCTCACCAGGTGCTTTGAATTGCCTGAAGTTAATGTTGACCAGGACAAAATGGATCACGGTTGGGCAGTTCTTCTCCCCCTTCCTGGGTTTAAAGACGTAGCATTCCTTCAGACCCTCACGATCAAACACTTTAGGGTCAATCTTAGGAAACGGGAGCTTGTTCATTCTGGCCCACTTTTCAGCTAACAGCAGCTCCTGTGGGACATTTTTACAGATTAGATAATGTTGTTGACACTTCAATCCAGTGGATTTATGAGTTTTCATGCCTTGAATGGAGGGCTGGAGTCGCTCGGTCGAGCAGAAAAATCAAATGAGATGATGAGGTCAACGCCGCGCTGCTGCCGCAGGATGAGAGGATAGGGAAGGTTGTACGTCAGTCCGCTGTCTACCACATGGATCTTCTTACTCTTCACATCCAGAGGCTCGTAAATACGATCAAACTCATCTGGATCTACAAACAAAACACAAGACACAACTTCACACTCATGCATGTGTCACTCACATTGACATTTTTTTATAGGAGAAAGGAAAGTACAACATTTGAAATCAACACAGGAATGAAAAAAATACCCATCTGAGTCATATTGACCAACCATTTATGGTGATTCAACTAAAGATGATCCACCAAAAATCTACAGGATATGATCTTATTTCATACCAGAGAATTCCTTTCAACAAAGCTGAGGAAACCGGTTCAACGGAACCATAATATTTGCTCTCGGTTCCAATTTATCGCAACTTACCCAGGCAGCCATTTTTATTCATTATCAAGACACTTCAAAGCACTGGACATTAAAAAACAAGTATACCGGTAGTAGAAAAACACAGAGTATATTGTATGGGCATAAAGGCAATTAAATAATTAGTGAATATGAATATTTTAAGGGAATAAAAATGTATTATTAAAATGAAGAGTGTTAAAAATGAACAAAAGCATGAGTAAATATACTACAAACTACAAACTTAAACTAATAGAAGTTTAGATAGCAAAGTCAAAGGTCAGTCTAAACAAGTTAATTTTTCATCCCAATTTAAATAAACTATTATAGTTTTCTGGGGGCCTTTCCAGAAAACTATGATAGGGGATATGCTGATGAAGGTTCCCAGTCATCCAGGTCAAAGTCATTCCGTAAAAATTAAAAAAATATCCACTGGACTTGGTTTCCAAGATTTGAAGACGTTTCGCCACCTCTCCAGGAAGCTTTCTCAATTCAAATGTCTGGAGAGGTGGCGAAACATCCTTCAAATCTTGGAAACCAAGTCCAGGGGATATTTTTTGAACTTTTACGGAATGACTTTGACCTGGATGACTGAGAATCTTCATCAGCAAGGGCATACAATTTACGCTTTTACGCATTGCTAGTTAAAAGCCTGCTCTAAGCTCCCTTTTATTGATTCAATGAGAAATCCAACCCGAATCGAAGCAGGCGGTAATATGGGAAACTGTGAAGACATGTTTGCATTTCAAAAATGTACTTTTATGCTACTAGCTCTATGGGTGTGGGATGAAGGATTGTTTTGTCTGAATTTTAAACATCGCAAAAAAAATGGGGGTTCTAGAGGAAAGCAATACTCTATGTAAAAGGTCAGATATTAGTGTTTGTATACTCTACCTTTCATAGACCTGGTTTTTAATAAATGAGTCGCAGATGTGGTAATTTTTTGCGTTATTTTGGTTTTTAGGTGGGACAGAGAACCAGGAAGCGGAGGAGGAGTTTAGCCGCACTGCTCAGGCCAGCTGGGTTCAGCGAATGTTCACTTCACTCTTTAGTGACTCTTCGCTGTTCAACACAAGAGAGGGCCGTGCTGGAAAGGTACTTTATGTAAAAAAGGAAATATTTTCTTGGGTCAAAACAAGAAGCAGTCTGCATTTTTTTCCCTCTATAATCCCCTTGTATTGCTTTACCAGGTGCATAACTTCATGCTGGGTCTGAACTTGAACACCACTATCCCCTTCTCTCCTGTACCTGAAATTCCATTTCCTGAATCCACACCTGAAGAGGAAGTGGATGCTGTAACAGGTAGGAAAAACATTTATGATTCACGGTTTACTGTTCAACTTGATATCGACATTGTTTCTGCTCTACTGAAGGAAATTAAAGACCAGATTATGGCAGATTTAGCAATCAGTTCATACCACCAGATGAATCTTTTGAGAGTTGATGTTTCCTTTTTCCTTTTTATTACAATCCACAGTCTGCTTTCTCCTGCTTCAAATGATCCAGTTTTTATAACTCAAAAGGCTTATGTTTCTATCATTTGTAAATAATTTATATGTTTGTATGTTTTTGGTTTTTATTTTGCCAAGCCGAATTAAATGTTCACTTAGGGTTTGTCACAATGCAAATATAAAAAGTTCAATTTTAATACCCTGGAAAATATTTGCTACCCAATACTATTTTGAGCACCATTTTTAATTTCAACATTGAACAGGCTTTATCAGTAGAATTAGAAAGGGTTGTTAAATACGTTTGCAAGTAAAAGCATAAAAACAACCCAAATATAACACAATTTGACAACATTTAAAGGTTTTCCAAGGCATTGTTATTTTAATGTGCAAATGATCCCAAAATATTAAATTTAAAATAGACTTAAACTCCTTTTGTAAAAATTAAAAAAATAAGTCTTCCAAGATTTGAAGACGTTTCGCCACCTCTCCAGGAAGCTTTCTCAATTCAAACACATTTGAATTGAGAAACCAAGTCCAGTGGATATTTGTTGACCTGGATGACTGAGAATCTTCATCAGCACTTAAACTCCTTCTGTTAGTCTATAAATCCCTGAATGTCTGAGCTCTAAAATACATTAATGTCAGCGGTTCACTCAGGTGTTCTGGGTCTAAGCTACTCTGCATACTCAGAACCAAAATACCAAGAAGCAGGTTTCAGTTGTTATTCCACACTAATTTGGGACAAGCCCCCCATTCCCATCCCCAGCTTGTCCCAATTGGGGTCACAAGGGTGCCTATCTCCAGCTGTCAATGGGTGAGAGGCGGGGTACACCCTGTCCATCGCAGGGCAACACAGAGACAAACAGGACATACAACCATTCACGCACACACTCACACCTAAGGAGAATCTAGAGAAGCCAATTAACCGCATAACAGTCATGTTTGTTTTTTTTTGGACTGTGGGAGGGAGCCGGAGTACCTGGAGAGAACCCACGCATGCTCAGGGAGAACAAGCAAACTCAATGCAGAAAGAACCCAGGCCAGGAATCAAACCCAGAACCTTCTTACTGCAAGGCAGCAGTGCTATCCACTGTGCCACTGAGCAGCCTCGGATAATCCCCCATCATAGTTTTCTGGACAAGCCCCCAGAAAACTATAATAGTTTATTTAAATTGGGATGAAAAATTAACTTGTTTAGACTGACCTTTGACTTTGCTATCTAAACTTCTATTAGTTTAAGTTTGTAGTTTGTAGTATATTTACTCATGCTTTTGTTCATTTTTAACACTCTTCATTTTAATAATACATTTTTATTCCCTTAAAATATTCATATTCACTAATTATTTAATTGCCTTTATGCCCATACAATATACTCTGTGTTTTTCTACTACCGGTATACTTGTTTTTTAATGTCCAGTGCTTTGAAGTGTCTTGATAATGAATAAAAATGGCTGCCTGGGTAAGTTGCGATAAATTGGAACCGAGAGCAAATATTATGGTTCCGTTGAACCGGTTTCCTCAGCTTTGTTGAAAGGAATTCTCTGGTATGAAATAAGATCATATCCTGTAGATTTTTGGTGGATCATCTTTAGTTGAATCACCATAAATGGTTGGTCAATATGACTCAGATGGGTATTTTTTTCATTCCTGTGTTGATTTCAAATGTTGTACTTTCCTTTCTCCTATAAAAAAATGTCAATGTGAGTGACACATGCATGAGTGTGAAGTTGTGTCTTGTGTTTTGTTTGTAGATCCAGATGAGTTTGATCGTATTTACGAGCCTCTGGATGTGAAGAGTAAGAAGATCCATGTGGTAGACAGCGGACTGACGTACAACCTTCCCTATCCTCTCATCCTGCGGCAGCAGCGCGGCGTTGACCTCATCATCTCATTTGATTTTTCTGCTCGACCGAGCGACTCCAGCCCTCCATTCAAGGCATGAAAACTCATAAATCCACTGGATTGAAGTGTCAACAACATTATCTAATCTGTAAAAATGTCCCACAGGAGCTGCTGTTAGCTGAAAAGTGGGCCAGAATGAACAAGCTCCCGTTTCCTAAGATTGACCCTAAAGTGTTTGATCGTGAGGGTCTGAAGGAATGCTACGTCTTTAAACCCAGGAAGGGGGAGAAGAACTGCCCAACCGTGATCCATTTTGTCCTGGTCAACATTAACTTCAGGCAATTCAAAGCACCTGGTGAGCATGTGCAAATATACAGACATTCACATTTGCAGGAAGGGCTAATTTTCCTACCCCTGCTCCATAGACCCCATTGGAGGCTAAACCTTACTGGAAGTGACGGAGCCCAACTTACAGGCAGTGTCCTGCTGCTCCTGAGTGGAGGGAGATTTTAGCACACATTTAATTCATTGTAGTGGCTACATTTATGAAGTTTTACAATGCGTATTTCACCAGGTCTTTTATAAAATGTACAGGGGAGGAATAGCCTCCCCAGTATTATAAGAAATCGCCACTGGTGCTAAAAAAAAAAAGAGACTTTTATTTATAGAATGTGGCTAATTCAAGGCTCCTAGAGAGTCTTGAAGCACAATCATTAATCTGCCTTTTTTTTTGTACAACAAATTTAAAACACAGATTTATTTTTTTTTAA